ATGCTGCAGAAAAAGTGTCAATCAGTTTTATTACTTCAGGAATTTGTTCAATTTTCTTGAGGAAAACTGTTGTATCATCTGCGAGTTGACTTATTACAATTTGCTGATCAAAGATCTGTCATTTTTCAATGTCTGAGTTTTTCAAAAGGATTGCTAACATTTCTACCACCATTATAAATAAAAAAGGGGAAATATTACACCCTTGTTTTACTCCTCGATTTAAGGAGAAGCGTGGTGTGGTTCCAGAGGGGAGTGATACTGAACTTGTGGTATCTCTATAGAATGTATCAATTACACTGCAAAATGTTGGCCCAAAACCATATGAACGGAGCACTTCAAAAAGGAAGTGATGTTCTAACTTATCAAACGCTTTATGAAAGTCAAGAAACAAAATAAATCCTTTGTCATCAATGTGGTCGTTATAAGATATCTTTCACTAATCTGATGTTGTTGTGTATTGATCTTTTATTTACAAAGCCAGATTGTGTTTCACTAATAATAGTATGTAATTTGTGTATATGTATGTGAGTAATTTGTAATCATTATTTAAGAGTGAGATGGGGCGTTGATTTTCTAACATCTTTGTATTTTTGTCTGGTTTTGGGATCAGAGTGATGATGATGTTGGTAACATCAAATTATTTATGGTTTAATTAAAAACTTGAAAGAGGAGGTCCCTGAGAGATTCCCAAAAGTCTAAAGATTCATCTTCTAAAACATTTTGTATGAGTTCTTTATACCCTGACAGAAGTCATTGTGAAGTAATAATCTAGAGTTGAATTTCCAGCAGCCATACTTCCTGGAGGTTTGTAGTGGAGGGTTACAGCTCCACGCAACAGTGATCCGTGAGTGGTGCTGGTGATATTTCACAGTTTAAGATTTGGTTGACTATGCCGTCACTGACTAACCAGTAATCTAATCTGGATTTAACTGAAGCATTTGGTTTGAACCATGAGAATTGTTTATTACCTGGATTTCTTTCTCTCCATGGGTCTACCAGATTTAAGGACTCACAAAAGTTGGCCAATATGGGATTTTCGTGTGTAGAATTATATTTTCTGGGAAATCGATCGAGCCAGTCATCTTTCACCATGTTCCAATCTCCTGCAAATGTAATGTTTTCAGATATATATTTCATTTTCAGTTGAAGTAATACTTCCTTTACTTCAGGAGGAGATTTCTATTTTGTGCAGCACTGCAGTGACCATATATATTTCCTAAAATTAGAATAGAGTCATCCAATTTGAGCACTGTGATGATCCAGTGGCCATTTTCATCAGATTTTGTGGTGATTATTTTCCCTTGAAATTTATTAAAAAGAATTGCCACCCCAGCTGATCTTGATGTACCATGTGAGAATACACTTTTGTCTCCCCATTGAGTTGTCCAAAATTGTTCATCTGTTGCATTTGAATGAGTTTCCTGCATTAAAAAACATTGTGCTTGTCTTTTTTTACAGTACAATAATAAAGTCTTTCTCTTAACACTGTCCCTTAGACCTCGAGTATTAATGGTTAATAGTTTCAAGTTGCATTTCAGTAATGCAGGTACAGACTCATTCACCCTCACTGTGTAATGCTAACATGTACACATGCTAACATGTACACATGCTAACATGTACACATGCTAACATGTACACATGCTAACATGTACACATGCTAACATGTACACATGCTAACATGTACACATGCTAACATGTACACATGCTAACATGTACACATGCTAACATGTACAACATGTACACATGCTAACATGTACACATGCTAACATGTACACATGCTAACATGTACACATGCTAACATGTACACATGCTAACATGTACACATGCTAACATGTACACATGCTAACATGTACACATGCTAACATGTACACATGCTAACATGTACACATGCTAACATGTACACATGCTAACATGTACACATGCTAACATGTACACATGCTAACATGTACACATGCTAACATGTAGACATGCTAACATGTAGACATGCTAACATGTACACATGCTAACATGTACACATGCTAACATGTACACATGCTAACATGTACACTAATGTCTAACATGTAACAGACATGCTAACATGTACACATGCTAACATGTACACATGCTAACATGTACACATGCTAACATGTACACATGCTAACATGTACACATGCTAACATGTACACATGCTAACACATGTAACATGTACATGCTAACATGTACACATGCTAACATGTACACATGCTAACATGTACACATGCTAACATGTACACATGCTAACATGTACACATGCTAACATGTACACATGACATGCAACATGTACACATGCTAACATGTACACATGCTAACATGTACACATGCTAACATGTACACATGCTAACATGTACACATGCTAACATGTACACATGCTAACATGTACACATGCTAACATGTACACATGCTAACATGTACACATGCTAACATGTACACATGCTAACATGTAACATGCTAACATGTACACATGCTAACATGTACACAGCTATGTACACATGCTAACATGTAACATGCTAACATGTACACATGCTAACATGTACACATGCTAACATGTACACATGCTAACATGTAGACATGCTAACATGTACACATGCTAACATGTACACATGCTAACATGTACACATGCTAACATGTACACATGCTAACATGTACACATGCTAACATGTACACATGCTAACATGTACATGCTAACATGTACACATGCTAACATGTACACATGCTAACATGTACACATGCTAACATGTACACATGCTAACATGTACACATGCTAACATGTACACATGCTAACATGTACACATGCTAACATGTACACATGCTAACATGTAACATGCTAACATGTAACATGTACACACATGCTAACATGTACACATGCTAACATGTACACATGCTAACATGTACACATGCTAACATGTACACATGCTAACATGTACACATGCTAACATGTACACATGCTAACATGTACACATGCTAACATGTACACATGCTAACATGTACACATGCTAACATGTACACATGCTAACATGTACACATGCTAACATGTACACATGCTAACATGTACATGCAAATTCATGCTAACATGTACACATGCTAACATGTACACATGCTAACATGTACACATGCTAACATGTACACATGCTAACATGTACACATGCTAACATGTACACATGCTAACATGTAACATGCTAAATGTACACATGCTAACATGTAACATGCTAACATGTACACATGCTAACATGTACACATGCTAACATGTACACATGCTAACATGTACACATGCTAACATGTACACATGCTAACATGTACACAATGTAACATGTACATGCTAACACATGCTAACATGTACACATGCTAACATGTAACATGCTAACATGTACACATGCTAACATGTAGACATGCTAACATGTACACATGCTAACATGTACACATGCTAACATGTACACATGCTAACATGTACACATGCTAACATGTACACATGCTAACATGTACACATGCTAACATGTACACATGCTAACATGTACACATGCTAACATGTACACATGCTAACATGCTACACATGCTAACATGTACACATGCTAACATGTACACATGCTAACATGTACACATCTGCATACACATGCTAACATGTACACATGCTAACATGTACACATGCTAACATGTACACATGCTAACATGTACACATGCTAACATGTACACATGCTAACATGTACACATGCTAACATGTACACATGCTAACATGTACACATGCTACGTACACATGCTAACATGTACACATGCTAACATGTACACATGCTAAATGTACATGCAACATGTACACATGCTAACATGTACACATGCTAACATGTACACAACATGCTAACATGCTAACATGTACATGCTAATACTGAACATGCTAACATGTACACATGCTAACATGTACACATGCTAACATGTACACATGCTAACATGTAGACATGCTAACATGTACACATGCTAACATGTACACATGCTAACATGTACACATGCTAACATGTACACATGCTAACATGTAGACATGCTAACATGTACACATGCTAACATGTACACATGCTAACATGTACACATGCTAACATGTACACATGCTAACATGTACACATGCTAACATGTACACATGCTAACATGTACACATGCTAACATGTAGACATGCTAACATGTAGACATGCTAACATGTACACATGCTAACATGTACACATGCTAACATGTACACATGCTAACATGTACACATGCTAACATGTAGACATGCTAACATGTACACATGCTAACATGTAGACATGCTAACATGTAGACATGCTAACATGTACACATGCTAACATGTAGACATGCTAACATGTACACATGCTAACATGTAGACATGCTAACATGTACATATGCTAACATGTATATGCTAACACATAGACATGCTAACATGTAGCACGTTGCTTTTTATGCCAGATTTAGAGATTTGTATTTTTATTTAGTTTCATTTATCTTGTACTGTTGTGTACCCGACGATACAACACTGACATTTCCCTGTGTGACCAATCAAACATCTTCATCTTCATCTTCCTCTTGATGTGGGCGTGGTCATGTTCGCAGCCAGTCAGGATGTAATTCCCGCTTCTGCCTCTAGATGGGAGTGTTCTCCAGCAGTAAACAGGAGGCAGCGTTTCAGATTCATGCACATTTAATCTGGGACAGTCTTCCTGAAAATGTGAGACTTCTCAGGTTAAAAACAGTTGTTTCTTCAACAGCTGAAGGATTTTATCTTTTCTCTTTATAATAAAGTGTCATTTCAGATTTTAAAGTTTCTTTTCTTTTTCTGTGACCTGTGCCAGACTAATAAACCTGTCTCTGCTGTTCACACCTGTGACCTCTGACCTCTGACCTCTGACCTGTGACCTCTGACCTCTGACCTTCAGCACCGCGGAGCAACTTCAAACTGCTCCGTTTGTAGAAAAAAAATGTTTTGTCCAAAGAGTTTTATACAATCCCAGAGACATTCTGCAGTCTCTCCCCCGCGGGGGGTCTGGACCCGGACAGTCTGGACCCGGACAGTCTGGACCCGGACAGTCTGGACCCGGACAGTCTGGACCCGGACAGTCTGGACCCGGACAGTCTGGACCCAATGCTTTGTTTGGGGTCTTCTTTCCTCTGGAACAAGGCTTTAGGACGGTGTCTTTGGGCCTTAACCCACTTTGCCTGAAGCCCCCACTGAAAGACCAAGGCTGAGTTCTCACAGAGTAGCCTCCTGTGGAGCACCTCCTGCAGGAGGACCAGGTGGAGCAGGAGGAGCAGAGAGGACCAGGAGGAGCAGAGAAGACCAGGAGGAGTAGAGAGGACCAGGAGGAGCAGAGAGGACAGGGAGGACCAGGAGGAGCAGAGAGGACCAGGAGGAGCAGAGAGGACCAGGAGGAGCAGAGAGGACCAGGAGGAGTAGAGAGGACCAGGAGGAGCAGAGAGGACAGGGAGGACCAGGAGGAGCAGAGAGGACAGGGAGGACCAGGAGGAGCAGAGAGGACCAGGAGGAGCAGAGAGGACCAGGAGGAGCAGAGAGGACCAGGAGGAGTAGAGAGGACCAGGAGGAGCAGAGAGGACAGGGAGGACCAGGAGGAGCAGAGAGGACCAGGAGGAGCAGAGAGGACCAGGAGGAGCAGAGAGGACCAGGAGGAGTAGAGAGGACCAGGAGGAGCAGAGAGGACAGGGAGGACCAGGAGGAGCAGAGAGGACAGGGAGGACCAGGAGGAGCAGAGAGGACCAGGAGGAGCAGAGAGGACCAGGAGGAGCAGAGAGGACCAGGAGGAGTAGAGAGGACCAGGAGGAGCAGAGAGGACAGGGAGGACCAGGAGGAGCAGAGAGGACAGGGAGGACCAGGAGGAGCAGAGAGGACAGGGAGGACCAGGAGGAGCAGAGAGGACCAGGAGGAGCAGAGAGGACCAGGAGGAGTAGAGAGGACCAGGAGGAACAGAGAGGACAGGGAGGACCAGGAGGAGCAGAGAGGACAGGGAGGACCAGGAGGAGCAGAGAGGACCAGGAGGAGCAGAGAGGACCAGGAGGAGTAGAGAGGACCAGGAGGAGCAGAGAGGACAGGGAGGACCAGGAGGAGCAGAGAGGACAGGGAGGACCAGGAGGAGCAGAGAGGACCAGGAGGAGCAGAGAGGACCAGGAGGAGTAGAGAGGACCAGGAGGAACAGAGAGGACAGGGAGGACCAGGAGGAGCAGAGAGGACAGGGAGGACCAGGAGGAGCAGAGAGGACCAGGAGGAGCAGAGAGGACCAGGAGGAGCAGAGAGGACCAGGAGGAGTAGAGAGGACCAGGAGGAGCAGAGAGGACAGGGAGGACCAGGAGGAGCAGAGAGGACAGGGAGGACCAGGAGGAGCAGAGAGGACCAGGAGGAGCAGAGAGGACCAGGAGGAGCAGAGAGGACCAGGAGGAGCAGAGAGGACCAGGAGGAGCAGAGAGGACCAGGAGGAGTAGAGAGGACCAGGAGGAGCAGAGAGGACCAGGAGGAGTAGAGAGGACCAGGAGGAGTAGAGAGGACAGGGAGGACCAGGAGGAGCAGAGAGGACCAGGAGGAGCAGAGAGGACCAGGAGGAGCAGAGAGGACCAGGAGGAGTAGAGAGGACAGAGAGGACCAGGAGGAGCAGTGATGACCTCTGACCCAGAGGTGAAGAAAACTTTGTTGCACTTTATAAATAAATGAGATAAACTTCAGAGACAGATGTTTCTCAGTTTTATTTTCACACATTCTTCAGTTTCTTTTTCTTCACAAAAACATGAGTTTAAGAAAATTATATCAAAAATATCTCTCAGCGAAGAACGCAACAAATGTACAAAACAGTATTTACACCGACCTCAGAGAACCTGACAGAGAACCTCAGAGAGAACCTCAGAGAACCTGACAGAGAACCTCAGAGAGAACCTCAGAGAACCTGACAGAGAACCTCAGAGAGAACCTCAGAGAACCTCAGAGAGAACCTCAGAGAACCTCAGAGAGAACCTCAGAGAGAACCTCAGAGAACCTCAGAGAGAACCTCAGAGAACCTGACAGAGAACCTCAGAGAGAACCTCAGAGAACCTGACAGAGAACCTCAGAGAGAACCTCAGAGAGAACCTCAGAGAGAACCTCAGAGAACCTCAGAGAGAACCTCAGAGAGAACCTCAGAGAACCTCAGAGAGAACCTCAGAGAACCTGACAGAGAACCTCAGAGAGAACCTCAGAGAACCTGACAGAGAACCTCAGAGAGAACCTCAGAGAGAACCTCAGAGAGAACCTCAGAGAGAACCTCAGAGAGAACTTCAGAGAACCTGACAGAGAACCTCAGAGAGAACCTCAGAGAGAACCTCAGAGAGAACCTCAGAGAACCTCAGAGAACCTGACAGAGAACCTCAGAGAGAACCTCAGAGAACCTGACAGAGAACCTCAGAGAGAACCTCAGAGAGAACCTCAGAGAACCTCAGAGAGAACCTCAGAGAACCTCAGAGAGAACCTCAGAGAACCTGACAGAGAACCTCAGAGAACCTCAGAGAGAACCTCAGAGAGAACCTCAGAGAGAACCTCAGAGAGAACCTCAGAGAACCTCAGAGAGAACCTCAGAGAACCTCAGAGAGAACCTCAGAGAGAACCTCAGAGAACCTCAGAGAACCTCAGAGAGAACCTCAGAGAGAACCTCAGAGAACCTCAGAGAGAACCTCAGAGAGAACCTCAGAGAGAACCTCAGAGAGAACCTCAGAGAGAACCTCAGAGAGAACCTCAGAGAACCTCAGAGAGAACCTCAGAGAGAACCTCAGAGAACCTCAGAGAGAACCTCAGAGAACCTGACAGAGAACCTCAGAGAGAACCTCAGAGAACCTGACAGAGAACCTCCTTTACTTTGGCAACGATTTAAAAACAGGCCCGTGTTCTACCACCGGGGTCTGAAGGGTGGGGGTCCGAAGCCCGGTCTGAAGGGTCCCATGTCCATGTGGGGGAAGGGGGGGCCGCGGGGGGGGAAGGGCAGGGGGGGGAACATGGGCCCAGGCATCATGGGGGGGCGCCCCAGGTGAGGGGGCAGGAAGGGGGGGAGGCCCGGAGGAGGCATCCCAGGAGGAGGGAAGGGGAACGGGGCGGGAGCCAGGGAGGCGCCCAGGCCGGGGGGGGCCGAGGGGGGGTCAGAGGAGGAGGAGGGGGCGGAGCTGTCTGCAGGTTTGACGTTTTCTGTGGAGAGAGAAGAACAACATTTTTATTCATCAATGAAGCGACTGAGGTCAGAGCAGAGAGAGCACAGGTACAGGCCTCCTGCTGGGACTCTGAGGAGCACAGGGACTGGCCTCCTGCTGGGACTCTGAGGAGCACAGGTACAGGCCTCCTGCTGGGACTCTGAGGAGCACAGGGACTGGCCTCCTGCTGGGACTCTGAGGAGCACAGGTACAGGCCTCCTGCTGGGACTCTGAGGAGCACAGGGACTGGCCTCCTGCTGGGACTCTGAGGAGCACAGGGACTGGCCTCCTGCTGGGACTCTGAGGAGCACAGGGACTGGCCTCCTGCTGGGACTCTGAGGAGCACAGGGACTGGCCTCCTGCTGGGACTCTGAGGAGCACAGGTACAGGCCTCCTGCTGGGACTCTGAGGAGCACAGGGACTGGCCTCCTGCTGGGACTCTGAGGAGCACAGGGACTGGCCTCCTGCTGGGGCTCTGAGGAGCACAGGGACTGGCCTCCTGCTGTGACTCTGAGGAGCACAGGGACTGGCCTCCTGCTGGGACTCTGAGGAGCACAGGGACTGGCCTCCTGCTGGGACTCTGAGGAGCACAGGGACTGGACTCCTGCTGGGACTCAGAGGAGCACAGGGACTGGTCTCCTGCTGGGACTCTGAGGAGCACAGGGACTGGCCTCCTGCTGGGACTCTGAGGAGCACAGGGACTGGCCTCCTGCTGGGACTCTGAGGAGCACAGGTACTGGCCTCCTGCTGGGACTCTGAGGAGCACAGGGACTGGCCTCCTGCTGGGACTCTGAGGAGCACAGGGACTGGCCTCCTGCTGGGACTCTGAGGAGCACAGGGACTGGCCTCCTGCTGGGACTCTGAGGAGCACAGGGACTGGCCTCCTGCTGGGACCTGTGCTACACAGATAAACTGGCCTTGTGTGTATTTCTCCACTTCCTTCTCTGCTGTTCACATAAACACACTGCTCTCCTCAACCCCAGGGGGCGCTGTCACAGAATATAAACACACACATCAGCCACAGTCACAACACTGCACCTGGTGTGTGTGTGTGTCTGTGTGTGTGTCTGTGTGTGTGTCTCTATGTGTGTGTGTCTGTGTGTGTGTGTGTGTCTCTGTGTGTGTGTCTGTCTCTGTGTGCGTCTGTGTAGTGTGGTAGTGTGTGTGTGTGTGTGTCTGTGTGTGTGTCTGTGTGTCTGTGTGTGTGTCTGTGTGTGTGTCTGTGTGTGTCTCTATGTGTGTGTCTCTATGTGTGTGTGTCTGTGTGTGTGTGTGTGTCTCTGTGTGTGTGTCTGTCTCTGTGTGCGTCTGTGTAGTGTGGTAGTGTGTGTGTGTGTGTGTCTGTGTGTGTGTCTGTGTGTCTGTGTGTGTGTCTGTGTAGTGTGGTAGTGTGTGTGTGTCTGTGTGGTAGTGTGTGTGTCTGTGTGTGTAGCTGTGTGTGTGTGTGTCTGTGTCTCTATGTGTGTGTGTCTGTGTGTGTCTCTATGTGTGTGTCTCTATGTGTGTGTGTCTGTGTGTGTGTCTCTATGTGTGTGTGTCTGTCTCTGTGTGCGTCTGTGTAGTGTGGTAGTGTGTCTGTGTGTGTGTCTGTGTGTGTGTCTGTGTGTGTGTCTGTGTGTCTGTGTGTGTGTCTGTGTAGTGTGGTAGTGTGTGTGTCTGTGTGGTAGTGTGTGTGTCTGTGTGTGTAGCTGTGTGTGTGTGTGTCTGTGTCTGTCTGTGTAGTGTGGTAGTGTGTGTGTCTGTGTAGTGTGTGTGTTTGTGTTGTAGTGTGTGTGTCTGTGTAGTGTGGTAGTGTGTGTATCTGTGTCTGTGTGTGTGTGTGTGTGTGTGTGTGTGTGTGTTGGTAGTGTGTGTGTGTGTGTGTGGTAGTGTGTGTGTGTGTCTGTAGTGTCTGTGTCTGTGTGTGTGTGGTAGTGTGTGTGTGTGTGTGTGTCTGGTAGTGTCTGTGTGTGTGTGTGTGTGTGTGTGTGTGTCTGGTAGTGTCTGTGTGTGTGTGTGTGTGTGTGGTAGTGTGTGTGTGTGTGTCTGGTAGTGTCTGTGTGTGTCTGTGTGTGTGTGTGTGTGTGTGTCTGGTAGTGTCTGTGTGTGTGTGTGTCTGGTAGTGTCTGTGTGTGTGTGTGTGTGTGTGTGTGTGTGTGTGTTAGTGTGTGTGTCTGTAGTGTCTGTGTGTGTGTGTGTGGTAGTGTGTGTGTGTGTATGTGTGTGTGTGTGTGTGTGTGTGTGTGGTAGTGTGTGTGTCTGTAGTGTCTGTGTGGGTGTGTGTGGTAGTGTGTGTGTGTGTGTGTGTGTGTGTGTGTGTGTGTGTGTGTGTGTGTGTGTGTGTGTGTGTGTGTGTGTGTGTGTGTGTGTGTGTGTGTGTGGTAGTGTGTGTGTGTGTGTGTGTGTGTGGTAGTGTGTGTGTCTGTAGTGTCTGTGTGGGTGTGTGTGGTAGTGTGTGTGTGTGTGTGTGTGTGTGTGTGTGTGTGTGTGTGTGGTAGTGTGTGTGTGTGTGTGTGTGTGTGTGTGGTAGTGTGTGTGTGTGTGTGTGTGTGTGTCTTACTTGGTGAAGTCTCTGGGACAGTCTCAGTCGGGGACAGGAGGGAGGGGCTGACCAGGGGCGGGGCCTGCAACACACACACCCCACAGTGAGAACACAGGTACAGAGCACAGGTACGGGTCACAGGTACGGGTCACAGGTACGGGTCACAGGTACAGGACACAGATACAGGACACGGCTACGGGTCACAGGTACGGGTCACAGGTACGGGACACAGGTACAGGACACAGATACAGGACACGGCTACGGGTCACAGGTACGGGTCACAGGTACGGGACACAGGTACGGGTCACAGGTACAGGACACAGGTACAGGACACAGGCACGGGTCACAGGTACAGGACACAGGTACAGGACACAGGTACAGGACACAGGTACAGGACACAGGTACGGCTCACAGGTACAGGACACAGGTACGGCTCACAGGTACAGGACACAGGTACGGCTCACAGGTACAGGACACAGGTACGGCTCACAGGTACAGGACACAGAGAGGATTAGAAGAACCACAGGGTTCTGGTTCTGGAGGACAGTTCTTTCTTACAGAGCATTAAACACAGGTTTCAGATAAACATATTTATTTGTTTGGCACATTTATAAACAGATACAAACAATATTTAAATACACAAAATAAACTTCTCTCTCGCTGCAGTGATGGAAGAGAAATGAGGGTTTCTCTGACTCTGTGAAAGAGAGAGTAAAGTTTAAAATCCTTCTTTTAACAAACAAAACCATAAATGGCTCCTTCTTATTTTCAACCAAATACCAGAGTCTGCTGGGTCCTAAAGAGTCAGAACACCAGAGTCTGCTGGGTCCTAAAGAGTCAGAACACCAGAGTCTGCTGGGTCCTAAAGAGTCAGAACACCAGAGTCTGCTGGGTCCTAAAGAGTCAGAACACCAGAGTCTGCTGGGTCCTAAAGAGTCAGAACACCAGAGTCTGCTGGGTCCTAAAGAGTCAGAACACCAGAGTCTGCTGGGTCCTAAAGAGTCAGAGCACCAGAGTCTGCTGGGTCCTAAAGAGTCAGAACACCAGAGTCTGCTGGGTCCTAAAGAGTCAGAACACCAGAGTCTGCTGGGTCCTAAAGAGTCAGAACACCAGAGTCTGCTGGGTCCTAAAGAGTCACAACACCAGAGTCTGCTGGGTCCTAAAGAGTCAGAACACCAGAGTCTGCTGGGTCCTAAAGTCCTAGAGCCCCCTGCTGGAGAACTATGGTAACAGCACTATCCTCTCCTCCTTCCATACTCTATCTGCATTATAAACTGTAGTGTGTTCATTTCTATTCACCAGTTGTCCCATTGTCGGGACCTCTGAACCTGGCCTCCTCCATCTTCACCTCTCTCTCTAGGGTCCAATACCATGTGGTCTCTCCCTATGGTCCTTACCATGTGGTCTCCCTCTATGGTCCTTACCATGTGGTCTCTCCCTATGGTCCTTACCATGTGGTCTCTGTCTGATGAGGTGTATATTTTGAACGTGTGAGATCTTATTTATGAAAGTCCCGCCTAGAAATATGCAAAAACAAGTTTTTACGACAATTGAGAGGAAACGGCACACAAAAAAACTTCCGGAGAAGAAGGTTCAGACCATTATGAACAAAGTGGGAAAAAAATTAAGTCTTTCTAATAGGAAGCCTCAAAAGTGGCATCAAGGCTCAGAAAAGAAAGTATGGAAAGAGATGAAGCATCTGTAAACAGCGTGGGGGTGGTAACACTGCTGAAGAGCTGAGTTTACTCATGTTTGAAGAAATATACCTTTATTATGTCAAACAGTTGACAGATATGTTCGGCCGATAGTTAGGATTTATTAATTCATGCCACAGGTGAAAACTAATGGAGTGACCTTAAAATGGTGTTTAGCAGCTCATAGAAGAAGTGCTCAGCAGCGAAGAGGGAGGACCGCCCTGAGCATCCACAAGAAAATCCTCACACTATAAATGTGATTATTATTTTAAAATGGTTGAATGAGAGTCTGAGCTGTACAGGCCGAAGGCGCTGCTGGCCATGGTCCCATCCATGGTCTCTCCTCCATGGTCTCTCATCCATAGTCTCTCACCCATGGTCTCCTCCATGGTCTCTCCTCCATGGTCTCATCCATGGTCTCTCCTCCATGGTCTCTCACCCATGGTCTCATCCATGGTCTCTCATCCATGGTCTCATCCATGGTCTCTCCTCCATGGTCTCTCATCCATGGTCTCTCACCCATGGTCTCATCCATGGTCTCATCCATGGTCTCTCCTCCATGGTCTCTCACCCATGGTCTCTCCTCCATGGTCTCTCACCCATGGTCTCATCCATGGTCTCATCCATGGTCTCATCCATGGTCTCTCACCCATGGTCTCTCACCCATGGTCTCATCCATGGTCTCTCCTCCATGGTCTCTCACCCATGGTCTCTCATCCATGGTCTCTCACCCATGGTCTCTCACCCATGGTCTCATCCATGGTCTCTCATCCATGGTCTCACCCATGGTCTCTCCTCCATGGTCTCTCACCCATGGTCTCTCACCCATGGTCTCATCCATGGTCTCTCACCCATGGTCTCATCCATGGTCTCTCACCCATGGTCTCTCACCCATGGTCTCTCATCCAGGGCTGCTCCACCAGTGCATCATGGCACACCGGGGTCCTGTACCTGTTGTGGAGAAACGAGCCAGGACCATGTGGCACACTTGTACCAGGAGGTACCAGAGCGCACCCCCTGTATGTCCCAGAGCCATCTCCCTCTGATCAGACCCACACAGCGCCCCCTGGTGGCGTCTTTGCTAGGACCCGCATGAACCAAATGTTACGCACTGATTGTATCTGTGGGAGACTTTAGAGTTTCTTGTACGTTATTTAATAACACAAACATAACATATTTATAATGTGAGGGGTGGGCCTATAATCATGTTTATTATTTAATAACACAAACATAACATTTATAATGTGAGGGGTGGGCCTATAATCATGTTTATTATTTAATAACACAAACATAACATTTATAATGTGAGGGGTGGGCCTATAATCATGTTTATTGTTGTCATGTGTGTTTTGGCGTGTTGTCATGTGTGTTTTGGCGTGTTGTCATGTGTGTTTTGGCGTGTTGTGATGACATTTACACCTCCTCCAGACTCTGTACCGTTCTCTCACGTCCAGCTCGATGAACGCCTCATTTACCCTGATTTGGGCGAACACAAGTTTCATAAATGAGGTCCAGTGTGAGGTCCAGTGTGAGGTCCAGAGTGAGGTCCAGTGTGAGGTCCAGAGTGAGGTCCAGTGTGAGGTCCAGTGTGAGGTCCAGAGTGAGGTCCAGTGTGAGGTCCAGTGTGAGGTCCAGTGTGAGGTCCAGAGTGAGGTCCAGTGTGAGGTCCAGTGTGAGGTCCAGTGTGAGGTCCAGTGTGAGGTCCAGTGTGAGGTCAGGATTTAAATCTTTTGGAGCTAAATCTGTGCAGATCCATTTAGTCATTGATCTATTTTCAACTTTTTTGCACGCTATGGGTGTGCACGTCAATCTCACTCTTGCTCTCCCTATGGTCCAATACCATGTGGTCTCTCCCTATGGTCCAATACCATGTGGTCTCTCCCTATGGTCCAATACCATGTGGTCTCTCCCTATGGTCCAATACCATGTGGTCTCTCCCTATGGTCCAATATCATGTGGTCTCTCTCTATGGTCCAATACCATGTGGTCTCTCCCTATGGTCCAATACCATGTGGTCTCTCCCTATGGTCCAATACCATGTGGTCTCTCCCTATGGACCAATACCATGTGGTCACTCTCTATGGTTCAATACCATGTGGTCTCTCTCTATGGTTCAATACCATGTGGTCTCTCTCTATGGTTCAATACCATGTGGTCTCTCCCTATGGTCCAATACCATGTGGTCTCTCCCTATGGTCCAATACCATGTGGCCTCTCCCAATGGTCCAACACCATTTGGTCTCTCCCTATGGTCCAATACCATGTGGTCACTCTCTATGGTTCAATACCATGTGGTCTCTCTCTATGGTTCAATACCATGTGGTCTCTCTCTATGGTCCAATACCATGTGGTCTCTCCCTATGGTCCAATACCATGTGGTCTCTCCCTATGGACCAATACCATGTGGCCTCTCCCTATGGTCCAATACCATGTGGTCTCTCCCTATGGACCAATACCATGTGGCCTCTCCCTATGGTCCAATACCATGTGGTCTCTCTCTATGGTCCAATACCATGTGGTCTCTCCCTATGGTCCAATACCATGTGGTCTCTCCCTATGGTCCAATACCATGTGGTCTCTCCCTATGGTCCAATACCATGTGGTCTCTCCCTATGGTCCAATACCATGTGGTCTCTCCCTATGGACCAATACCATGTGGTCACTCTCTATGGTCCAATACCATGTGCCCATACCATGGGCGGCACGGTGGCTGAGTGGATAGCACTCTCGCCTCTCAGCAAGAAGGTCCTGGGTTCGAATCCCGGTTGGACCAGGGCCTTTCTGAGGGGCCTTTCTGCTCTACAGTCGTCTGCGCTGCAGTCGTCTGCTCTGCAGTCTGCTCTGCAGTCGTCTGCTCTGCAGTCGTCTGCTCTACAGTCGTCTGCGCTGCAGTCGTCTGCTCTGCAGTCTGCTCTACAGTCGTCTGCGCTGCAGTCGTCTGCTCTGCAGTTGTCTGCGCTGCAGTCGTCTGCGCTGCAGTCGTCTGCTCTACAGTCGTCTGCGCTGCAGTCTGCTCTAGAGTCGTCTGCGCTGCAGTCTGCTCTACAGTCGTCTGCGCTGCAGTCTGCTCTACAGTCGTCTGCGCTGCAGTCGTCTGCTCTGCAGTCGTCTGCTCTACAGTCGTCTGCTCTGCAGTCGTCTGCTCTACAGTCGTCTGCTCTGCAGTCGTCTGCGCTGCAGTCGTCTGCTCTACAGTCGTCTGCTCTGCAGTCGTCTGCTCTACAGTCGTCTGCTCTACAGTCGTCTGCGCTGCAGTCGTCTGCTCTACAGTCGTCTGCTCTGCAGTCGTCTGCTCTACAGTCGTCTGCTCTACAGTCGTCTGCGCTGCAGTCGTCTGCTCTACAGTCGTCTGCGCTGCAGTCGTCTGCTCTACAGTCGTCTGCGCTGCAGTCGTCTGCTCTACAGTCGTCTGCGCTGCAGTCGTCTGCTCTACAGTCGTCTGCTCTACAGTCGTCTGCTCTGCAGTCTGCTCTACAGTCGTCTGCGCTGCAGTCTGTGTCTATACTTTATGTCAAATGTAAACAGTTGGTTCTCTAACTCACCCTGTGTTATCACGACTCGGGCACATGTGAAAAGCAGTCGAAGTTCACAGACGGTGGAAACAGTGGGAAGTTTTAGATTTCGGCGGAAAAGTGCGGAGAATACAGGAGGGAGGAACTTTCTCTCGTTGTGTTTCAAAAGAGAAAACAGATTCCAACATTCACAGAGATGTCGGCCGTTCATGACACAAAACAGGAACTAATTCAAGTTCTTTTTTTAAAAATGTGTTGCGTTCAGTTCAACGTTCACGAAAAAATGAACGTGTTCTTTTGAACTCGTTCACGCACAACACTGGTCATGTATGTACATGTGAGTGCTGTTGTGGGAACAGGGGGAGGCTCAGATGGGCTGTTCCTCCTCTGGGCTGTTCCTCCTCTGGGCTGTTCCTCCTCTGGGCTGTTCCTCCTCTGGGCTGTTCCTCCTCTGGGCTGTTCCTCCTCTGGGCTGTTCCTCCTCTGGGCTGTTCCTCCTTTGGGCTGTTCCTCCTCTGGGCTGTTCCTCCTTTGGGCTGTTCCTCCTTTGGGCTGTTCCTCCTCTGGGCTGTTCCTCCTCTGGGCTGTTCCTCCTTTGGGCTGTTCCTCCTCTGGGCTGTTCCTCCTCTGGGCTGTTCCTCCTCCTGGGCTGTTCCTCCTCTGGGCTGTTCCTCCTCTGGGCTGTTCCTCCTCTGGGCTGTTCCTCCTCTGGGTTGTTCCTCCTCTGGGCTGTTCCTCCTCCTGTCTCTTGGGCTGTTCCTCCTTGGGCTGTTCCTCCTTTGGGCTGTTCCTCCTCTGGGCTGTTCCTCCTTTGGGCTGTTCCTCCTGGCTGTTCCTCCTCTGGGCTGTTCCTCCTTTGGGCTGTTCCTCCTTTGGGCTGTTCCTCCTCTGGGCTGTTCCTCCTCTGGGCTGTTCCTCCTTTGGGCTGTTCCTCCTCTGGGCTGTTCCTCCTCTGGGCTGTTCCTCCTTTGGGCTGTTCCTCCTTTGGGCTGTTCCTCCTCTGGGCTGTTCCTCCTTTGGGCTGTTCCTCCTCTGGGCTGTTCCTCCTCTGGGCTGTTCCTCCTTTGGGCTGTTCCTCCTTTGGGCTGTTCCTCCTCTGGGCTGTTCCTCCTCTGGGCTGTTCCTCCTTTGGGCTGTTCCTCCTCTGGGCTGTTCCTCCTTTGGGCTGTTCCTCCTCTGGGCTGTTCCTCCTTTGGGCTGTTGTTCTGTGCTTCTCTTTTGTACGATAATTTTTCTATCTGCCAGATGCCCAAAAAAACACACTGCTCCCAGTCCACAAAGCACCAGCTCCTCCTGCTTCTCACTGCTCCTTACTGATCCTCCTGCTTCTCACTGCACCTTACTGATCCTCCTGCTTCTCACTGCACCTTACTGATCCTCCTGCTTCTCACTGCACCTTACTGATCCTCCTGCTTCTCACTGCTCCTTACTGATCCTCCTGCTTCTCACTGCACCTTACTGATCCTCCTGCTTCTCACTGCTCCTTACTGATCCTCCTGCTTCTCACTGCACCTCCTGCTTCTCACTGCACCTTACTGATCCTCCTGCTTCTCACTGCTCCTTACTGATCCTCCTGCTTCTCACTGCACCTTACTGATCCTCCTGCTTCTCACTGCACCTTACTGATCCTCCTGCTTCTCACTGCTCCTCACTGATCCTCCTGCTTCTCACTGCACCTTACTGATCCTCCTGCTTCTCACTGCTCCTTACTGATCCTCCTGCTTCTCACTGCACCTCCTGCTTCTCACTGCACCTTACTGATCCTCCTGCTCCTTACTGCTCCTCCTGCTTCTCACTGCACCTTACTGATCCTCCTGCTTCTCACTGCTCCTTACTGATCCTCCTGCTTCTCACTGCACCTTACTGATCCTCCTGCTTCTCACTGCTCCTTACTGATCCTCCTGCTTCTCACTGCACCTCCTGCTTCTCACTGCACCTTACTGATCCTCCTGCTTCTCACTGCACCTTACTGATCCTCCTGCTTCTCACTGCACCTTACTGATCCTCCTGCTTCTCACTGCACCTTACTGATCCTCCTACTTCTCACTGCACCTTACTGATCCTCCTGCTTCTCACTGCACCTTACTGATCCTCCTGCTTCTCACTGCACCTTACTGATCCTCCTGCTTCTCACTGCACCTTACTGATCCTCCTGCTTCTCACTGCTCCTTACTGATCCTCCTGCTTCTCACTGCTCCTCACTGATCCTCCTGCTTCTCACTGCACCTTACTGATCCTCCTGCTTCTCACTGCACCTTACTGATCCTCCTGCTTCTCACTGCTCCTTACTGATCCTCCTGCTTCTCACTGCTCCTTACTGATCCTCCTGCTTCTCACTGCTCCTTACTGATCCTCCTGCTTCTCACTGCACCTTACTGATCCTCCTGCTTCTCACTGCACCTTACTGATCCTCCTGCTTCTCACTGCTCCTTACTGATCCTCCTGCTTCTCACTGCACCTTACGGATCCTCCTGCTTCTCACTGCTCCTTACTGATCCTCCTGCTTCTCACTGCTCCTTACTGATCCTCCTGCTTCTCACTGCACCTTACTGATCCTCCTGCTTCTCACTGCTCCTTACTGATCCTCCTGCTTCTCACTGGACCTTACTGATCCTCCTGCTCCTTACTGATCCTCCTGCTTCTCACTGCTCCTTACTGATCCTCCTGCTTCTCACTGCTCCTTACTGCTCCTCCTGCTTCTCACTGCTCCTCCTGCTTCTCACTGCTCCTTACTGCTCCTCCTGCTTCTCACTGCTCCTTACTGATCCTCCTGCTCCTTACTGCTCCTCCTGCTTCTCACTGCTCCTTACTGCTCCTCCTGCTTCTCACTGCTCCTTACTGATCCTCCTGCTCCTTACTGCTCCTCCTGCTTCTCACTGCTCCTTACTGATCCTCCTGCTTCTCACTGCTCCTTACTGCTCCTCCTGCTTCTCACTGCTCCTTACTGATCCTCCTGCTTCTCACTGCACCTTACTGATCCTCCTGCTTCTCACTGCTCCTTACTGCTTCTCACTGCTCCTCCTGCTTCTCACTGCTCCTTACTGCTCCTCCTGCTTCTCACTGCTCCTTACTGATCCTCCTGCTTCTCACTGCTCCTCCTGCTTCTCACTGCTCCTTACTGCTCCTCCTGCTTCTCACTGCTCCTTACTGCGCCTCCTGCTTCTCACTGCGCCTCCTGCTTCTCACTGCGCCTCCTGCTTCTCACTGCGCCTCCTGCTCCTCAAACCCACAACCTTCAGGCTCAAAGGCCAAGGCAGTGAAGTGAGTCCAGGATCCAGACAATATTAGTTCAAACAGGATCAAAGTAACAAATGTTAAAGAGAATCTGTTGCAGCTGAAACATGTTTTCAGTTTTGAACATGGTCGAGGCCCGTCTCACAGCCTCAGGAAGACTGTTCCATGTCCTCGCTGCAGAAATCTGAAATGCAGCCTCTCCATGTTTTGACTCCGGGCACCAGATATCCCTCCATCAATCTATTCTCTTCCACTTAATCCGGACGATAATAAAGTGGACGCCCTACTCTCCCTGGTTAGGTTCCTACTACACTTTAGTACAACAGAGTGCGGCTTGAAGCCATGGTTACCATGGTTACCATGGGCACTGGTGCTAACCACAGCTGGTTCAAACCATAAAGGCTCCTGGTTTATTTATGTTTGAAAAAAATCTGTTTAAATTCTTAAAAACAGAACAGTCAATATGACTGCTACAGTCTGTGCTGCTGTCAGTATGACTGCTACAGTCTGTGCTGCTGTCAGTATGACTGCTACAGTCTGTGCTGCTGTCAGTATGACTGCTACAGTCTGTCTGTGCTGCTGTCAGTATGACTGCTACAGTCTGTGCTGCTGTCAGTATGACTGCTACAGTCTGTCTGTGCTGCTGTCAGTATGACTGCTACAGTCTGTGCTGCTGTCAGTATGACTGCTACAGTCTGTGCTGCTGTCAGTATGACTGCTACAGTCTGTGCTGCTGTCAGTATGACTGCTACAGTCTGTGCTGCTGTCAGTATGACTGCTACAGTCTGTGCTGCTGTCAGTATGACTGCTACTGTCTGTGCTGCTGTCAGTATGACTGCTACAGTCTGTGCTGCTGTCAGTATGACTGCTACAGTCTGTGCTGCTGTCAGTATGACTGCTACAGTCTGTGCTGCTGTCAGTATGACTGCTACAGTCTGTGCTGCTGTCAGTATGACTGCTACAGTCTGTGCTGCTGTCAGTATGACTGCTACAGTCTGTGCTGCTGTCAGTATGACTGCTACAGTCTGTGCTGCTGTCAGTATGACTGCTATAGTCTGTGCTGCTGTCAGTATGACTGCTACAGTCTGTGCTGCTGTCAGTATGACTGCTACAGTCTGTGCTGCTGTCAGTATGACTGCTACAGTCTGTGCTGCTGCTGTCAGTATGACTGCTACAGTCTGTGCTGCTGTCAGTATGACTGCTACAGTCTGTGCTGCTGCTGTCAGTATGACTGCTACAGTCTGTCTGTGCTGCTGTCAGTATGACTGCTACAGTCTGTGCTGCTGTCAGTATGACTGCTACAGTCTGTGCTGCTGTCAGTATGACTGCTACAGTCTGTGCTGCTGTCAGTATGACTGCTACAGTCTGTGCTGCTGTCAGTATGACTGCTACAGTCTGTCTGTGCTGCTGTCAGTATGACTGCTACAGTCTGTGCTGCTGTCAGTATGACTGCTACAGTCTGTGCTGCTGTCAGTATGACTGCTACAGTCTGTCTGTGCTGCTGTCAGTATGACTGCTACAGTCTGTGCTGCTGTCAGTATGACTGCTACAGTCTGTGCTGCTGTCAGTATGACTGCTACAGTCTGTGCTGCTGTCAGTATGACTGCTACAGTCTGTGCTGCTGTCAGTATGACTGCTACAGTCTGTGCTGCTGTCAGTATGACTGCTACAGTCTGTGCTGCTGTCAGTATGACTGCTACAGTCTGTGCTGCTGTCAGTATGACTGCTACAGTCTGTGCTGCTGTCAGTATGACTGCTACAGTCTGTGCTGCTGTCAGTATGACTGCTACAGTCTGTCTGTGCTGCTGTCAGTATGACTGCTACAGTCTGTCTGTGCTGCTGTCAGTATGACTGCTACAGTCTGTGCTGCTGTCTATGACTGCTACAGTCTGTGCTGCTGTCAGTATGACTGCTACAGTCTGTGCTGCTGTCAGTATGACTGCTACAGTCTGTGCTGCTGTCAGTATGACTGCTACAGTCTGTGCTGCTGTCAGTATGACTGCTACAGTCTGTGCTGCTGTCAGTATGACTGCTACAGTCTGTGCTGCTGTCAGTATGACTGCTACAGTCTGTGCTGCTGTCAGTATGACTGCTACAGTCTGTGCTGCTGTCAGTATGACTGCTACAGTCTGTGCTGCTGTCAGTATGACTGCTACAGTCTGTGCTGCTGTCAGTATGACTGCTACAGTCTGTCTGTGCTGCTGTCAGTATGACTGCTACAGTCTGTCTGTGCTGCTGTCAGTATGACTGCTACAGTCTGTGCTGCTGTCAGTATGACTGCTACAGTCTGTGCTGCTGCTGTCAGTATGACTGCTACAGTCTGTGCTGCTGTCAGTATGACTGCTACAGTCTGTGCTGCTGCTGTCAGTATGACTGCTACAGTCTGTGCTGCTGTCAGTATGACTGCTACAGTCTGTCTGTGCTGCTGTCAGTATGACTGCTACAGTCTGTGCTGCTGTCAGTATGACTGCTACAGTCTGTCTGTGCTGCTGTCAGTATGACTGCTACAGTCTGTCTGTGCTGCTGTCAGTATGACTGCTACAGTCTGTGCTGCTGTCAGTATGACTGCTACAGTCTGTGCTGCTGTCAGTATGACTGCTATAGTCTGTGCTGCTGTCAGTATGACTGCTACAGTCTGTGCTGCTGTCAGTATGACTGCTACAGTCTGTGCTGCTGTCAGTATGACTGCTACAGTCTGTCTGTGCTGCTGTCAGTATGACTGCTACAGTCTGTGCTGCTGTCAGTATGACTGCTATAGTCTGTGCTGCTGTCAGTATGACTGCTACAGTCTGTGCTGCTGTCAGTATGACTGCTACAGTCTGTCTGTGCTGCTGTCAGTATGACTGCTACAGTCTGTGCTGCTGTCAGTATGACTGCTACAGTCTGTCTGTGCTGCTGTCAGTATGACTGCTACAGTCTGTCTGTGCTGCTGTCAGTATGACTGCTACAGTCTGTGCTGCTGTCAGTATGACTGCTACAGTCTGTGCTGCTGTCAGTATGACTGCTACAGTCTGTCTGTGCTGCTGTCAGTATGACTGCTACAGTCTGTCTGTGCTGCTGTCAGTATGACTGCTACAGTCTGTGCTGCTGTCAGTATGACTGCTACAGTCTGTGCTGCTGTCAGTATGACTGCTACAGTCTGTCTGTGCTGCTGTCAGTATGACTGCTACAGTCTGTCTGTGCTGCTGTCAGTATGACTGCTACAGTCTGTGCTGCTGTCAGTATGACTGCTACAGTCTGTGCTGCTGCTGTCAGTATGACTGCTACAGTCTGTGCTGCTGTCAGTATGACTGCTACAGTCTGTGCTGCTGTCAGTATGACTGCTACAGTCTGTGCTGCTGTCAGTATGACTGCTACAGTCTGTGCTGCTGTCAGTATGACTGCTACAGTCTGTCTGTGCTGCTGTCAGTATGACTGCTGTAACGACTCAGTCATGATACATGGGTCTGATACGTCATGTGACATCACCATCTTCCATTCTGATTCATGCATCATCATAGACTCTGTCCTTCTTACCTTTATTTATAGTGAAAATAGTGCAATACTCTTTGAACGGTGCAATACTCTTTGAACGGTGCAATACTCTTTGAACGGTGCAATACTCTTTGAACGGTGCAATACTCTTTGAACGGTGCAATACTCTTTGAACGGTGCAATATTGTGTAAACTTTAAAGTATGGTGATACGTGGCATCAGTTTTAACGAACACGATTCATCACAGCTCGTGGTTATTGAATTAGCTCCGTCTGTTAATGCAGTCTATGGATGGTGCATGAGGCTTTCTGCAGTCAGTCTGCCCCAGGGCAGCTGTGGCAACAGTGGCAGTTTACCCCCACTCTGTGAGGAGAAGGAATAGCTGCATGAGGCCTGGAAGTAAGTACCATGTATTTATATAATGCTCTAAACCAACGAGGAGGAGGAGGGGGAGGGTCAGGAGGAGGAGGGGGGAGGATCAGGAGGAGAAGGGTCAGGAGGAGGGGGGGTCAGGAGGAGGAGGGGCATCAGGAGGAGGAGGGGGGAGGATCAGGAGGAGGGGAAGGATAAGGAGAGGTATGAGGAGGGCATCAGGAGGAGGTGGTGTACTAACAGTCACAGAGTCTTTAGAGACCCTCATGTAGATACTTTGCCCTTTCATGTATGAGAATATATGATATACATGGATACAATGCTCTCTGCGTGTAGACTCCCCGAGGGGGGCGTGACCCCTGTCCGTCTGGCAGGGTAACGACAGTCCTGCCACTGAACGGTACTGACTCAGTTATGCATCTGGAACTTAACAAAGTAAAACAGAGTTCACTTTTTAAACCAATAGAGACTGTGTGTGTTCCTCGCACCGGCTCAGAAATGTGTTTTCATTTGAATAAACACAAATATAACAGAAGGACAGCAGTTAGACGGTCCAACTCTGGAAATCTAATTCCAATTCTTTGTAATCAATCAACTAAACCCACTGACACTGATATTATTCTTAACCTTGCTCTGCTTAATGTCAGATCACTATGCAATCAATCCTTTTTAATTAATAATTGTATCTGTTCTTATGAGCTTGACTTTATGTTTATGACTGAAACTTGGCTTGACCATAATACAGAAAATGCAGTTTTAATAGAAACAACACCAAATCTCAAATTTGAATCAGAAATACGGGAAAATAAAAGAGGAGGAGGCACAGCAGCAGTTTTTAAAGATTGTATTGTCTCCCATACAGTACCTCTTGGGAAATGTTCCTCATTTGAGTATGTTTCTTTTAAAATGGAACAAAAGCTTCTATTCTATTCTATTCTTATTATTGTTGTGTACAAGCCGCCACAGTCATGTCATAGTTTCACTGATCATTTCACCGAGTTGCTTTGATAGTTTAGTCATTATAGGTGATTTTAATATACATGTAGATAACGTTAATGATAGATACATGAAAGAGCTGAGCTCTGTGCTGGAAACCTTTGGTCTCACTCAGCATGTGACTGGCCCCCAAGAAGACACATAAACAAAAATACAGGTGAACTTTTCATGGGGATGATAAACTTTGATAACACGTTGTGTTCTACTGTGGATGAATTACTTAACTCTGTCACCTCTAGTGTTTTGGATGTTCTGGACACGATCGCTCCTGTAAAGGTCAAAATTGTTACAAATAAGCAAAAGGCGCCATGGACAAAAGCAGACTCTGTCAGGGCACAGAAGAGAGAGTGCCGGAGAGCCGAGCGGAAGTGGCGAAAGTCAAATCTCCAAGTTGACCATGAGATCTTCAACAGTGTGCTACGTAGAACGAGGGAAACTTATTTTTCCGAAACAATCGAAGGTTGCAGTAACAGTCTACACGCTCTGTTCTCAGATTAACAGATTAATAAATCCCCTGTTA